TTACCAGAGAGGTACATTGAGATGTGTATTGCAGTTCAACAGTGTATCCACTCTTTCAGTTTCTGCCGCCAGCTCAGTATCCAAACAGAGGGAGCACCATCTGCCCCATCAGTAATTCCCCTTCCTTCTGCCCCCAAAACAACCCCACAAACATTTGATTTCGCCACCAGTGTTTACGAAACTCCTCGTTCTAGAATACCTTATCCCATTCCTTCATCCATTCCATCTGTAATTGCCCTGCCCAAGCAGACATTCTGAAATAACATCAACTTCTTCCCAATTGTCCCCCTCCCCAAGCAGACCACCCCAACTCTACACACCATTTCCTTCCACTTCAATCCAATATCTCCCTCCCAGCAGGCCAACTCAACTACACACGCCATCACATCCAATTTATCAATTCCCCCTCCGAGCAAACCTCCTAAATAAGAAACAATGATTCCTCCAAGATATCCCCCCACAGACTCCTTGAAGTTGACAAACAACTGCCTTCTACATATGACCAACCCCCACAAGCAAACCTCCTGAAATCAATACAGCGCTGCCTTTAAGTTTTGAACAATATTCCTCCATCCACCATCTACACATCTTTGTGGTTCCTAGTCCAAGCTCTACCTCAGTTTCTGCCCAAGGCCACAACATCCCAGAATGTTATTGCAGTTTTTACCAAGTTCTACATTAGTTTGTGTTTTGGAAAAACATTCCAATAAAAAAGTTGGTATGCAATCAGTTGGAGTGTGATCTGTTTTCTCAGGGTTAATAAATAACAATTAGCATTACCAATAAAATTACCTTATTGTGCTAGTAATCTTTTAGCAGGCTCAACACTGTTCCTGTGTTCTGTCGCTCCAAATGGCAGTATAGTAGTCCAAGCAATTCGTCAAAACTGAAAAAACAATATATATATCATAATGAGAGGTGGAAAAGGAAGAGAGCTTGGGTGGGGAGAGCAAAGGGTAGAGGGTAAGGAAGGGTGAGAGCGAGGGAGAGAGGGATAGGGAGGGAGAGAGGGAGGGAGAGAGAGTGGGAAAGGGAGGGACGGAAAGAGAGGGAGAGAAAGGAAGGAGGAGTGGGATAGGGAGGGAGGGAGGAGGAGAGACTCCGTCTCACATATATACTGTTGACTGTCATGCGCATGTGTAATTGGAAAACATCACTTCATGTGCCTGGAGGTCATGATACATGACCCTGAACTGTCCACGTTGATCCCTATTTGCTATAATTGGATGGACCCAATATCTTAGCCTTCTCCTCATCCTTTTCCTATTTTCCTCCCTTTCTATCAAGACTGCTGCAGTAGCAGCTGCAACTACTGCCATGACCAAGGGCATAGAAGGATGAAACAAGCTGAGCAACACACCAAACAACGGACCAACACACCACCACACTATATTCTCTACACAAAAACTTGGAAGTGTACAGGAAGTTAACACCTTTTTGTACATCAGAAATGATCATATTTCTATTCGCTAGAACAAAAATCGCAGCTGTCTTCTAAACTCCTCCAATTAACATGAAATTCGCATCAGAATCGCATTACATCTGCAGCTGTCCAGCACAAAAAGCATAGCAAATTCGCACTATACTCATACAAAAATGCATTAAATTCGCAAAGAATTGCATCACACCAGTGTGAACGAGGGCTCATTCAGTCTAAATATTTCTGGACCATGTCAACTTTCAGTCATTGTGGACCATTTGGGGATGTATCAATACCATGCCCATTATGGACATGAGCTCCCCCATGCTCCTTTGTATACACAGAGCTGAAGAAGTAATTTAATAAATTTGCCTTCTCCTTGTCCCCAGTCACCCACTCTATATTATTTTGTAAAGGGACTACATGCTTAGACCTGACCTTTTTACTATTACTATATTTTGGGGTTTGTCCTGCTGTCTTTTGCAATTAAATTTTTGCGGTCTTCACTTCCTTTTTACCTATTCTTTGTAATATTTAAATGATGATAGTATTCCGTCATATTTATATTTTTTTTAATTGACTTTACATTGTTTAACTACTTGCCCTCCACCCTATAGCAGAAATACTGGTATAGGGCGGCAGGGCTGCATAAAATCATATATATATATATATAATATATATATATATATATATATATATATATATATATATAGATATATACAGTGGGGATCCAAAGTTTGGGCACCCCAGCTAAATATTTGTATTAATGTGCATAAAGAAGCCAAGGAAAGATGGAAAAATCTCCAAAAGGCATCAAATTACAGATTAGACATTCTTATAATATGTCAACAAAAGTTAGATTTTATTTCCATCATTTACACTTTCAAAATAACAGAAAACAAAAAAATGGCGTCTGCAAAAGTTTGGGCACCCTGCAGAGTTAATATCTTGTACTGCCCCCTTTGCCAAGTATCACAGCTTGTAAACACTTTTTGTAGCCAGCCAAGAGTCTTTCAATTCTTGTTTGAGGTATCTTTGTCCATTCTTCCTTACAAAAGTCTTCCAGTTCTTTGAGATTTCTGGGCTGTCTGTCACGCACTGCTCTTTTAAGGTCTATCCATAGATTTTCAATTATGTTGAGGTCAGGAGATTGTGAAGGCCATGGCAAAACCTTCAGTTTACACCTCCTGATGTAATCCCCCATGGATTTTGAGGTGTGTTTAGGACCATTATCCATTTGTAGAAGCCATCCTCTCTTTAACTTCAGCTTTTTTACAGATGGCATCAAGTTACCATCCAAAATTTGCTGAAGTTTTATTGAATCCATTTTTCCTTCTACTCGTGAGATGTTCCCTGTGCCACTGGCTGCAACACAACCCCAAAGCATGATTGATCCAACCCCATGCTTAACAGTTGGACAGAGGTTCTTTTCATTAAATTCTGTACCCCTTCTTCTCCAAACGTACCTTTGCTCATTCCGGCCAAAAAGTTCAATTTTAACCTCATCGGTCCACAGAACTTGTTTCCAAAATGCATCAGGCTTGTCTGTATGTTCATTTGCAAAGTTCAAACGATGATTTTTGTGGTGAGGACGTAGAAGAGGTTTTCTTCTGATGACTCTTCCATGAAGACCATATTTGTACAAGTATCTCTTTATAGTGGAATAGTGTACCACAACTCCAGTGTCTGCCAGATCTTTCTGGAGGGATCGCGCAGTCAAACATGGGTTTTGAATTGTTTTTCTCACAATCCTGTGAGCTGTTCTGTCTGATATTTTTCTTGGTCTTCCAGATGTTGCTTTAACTTCCACTGTTCCTGATGATTGCCATTTCTTAATTACATTTCGAACAGAGGATATTGACATCTGAAAATGCTTTGCTATCTTCTTATAGCCTTCTCCAGCTTTGTGAGCGTCAACTATTTTCAGTTTCAGTTTTCTAGACAACTGCTTAGAACAACCCATGGTGCTGATTGTTGGGGCAAGGTCATATGAGTCTGGGCATTTAAAACCTTTGAGCTTGACATCACCTGGTCTTCCCAGACGATGATTGAGAACAATCCATGACACTGGCAGGTCTCAGATTTGCAAAGGGGGCAGTGCATGCTATAAATTCTGCAGGGTGCCCAAACTTTTGCAGATGCCATTTTTTTGTTTTCTGTTATTTTGAAAGTGTAAATGATGGAAATAAAATCTAACTTTTGTTGACATATTATAAAAATGTCTAATCTGTAATTTGATGCCTTTTGGAGATTTTTCCATCTTTCCTTGGCTTCTTTATGCACATTAATACAAATTTTTAGCTGGGGTGCCCAAACTTTCGATCCCCACTGTATATATATATATACATACATATATATATATACACACAGGTGAAACTCGAAAAAATTAGAATATCGTGCAAAAGTTCATTTATTTCAGTAATGCAACTTAAAAGGTGAAACTAATATATGAGATAGACTCGTTACATACAAAGCAAGGTAGTTCAAGCCGTGATTTGCCATAATTGTGATGATTATGGCTTACAGCTCATGAAAACCCCAAATCCACAATCTCAGAAAATTTGAATATTGTGAAAAGGTGCAATATTCTAGGCTCAAAGTGTCCCACTCTAATCAGATAATTAAGCCATAACACCTTCAAAGGGTTCCTGAGCCTTTAAATGGTCTCTCAGTCTGGTTCAGTAGGAATCACAATCATGGGAAAGACTGCTGACCTGACAGTTGTGCAAAAAACCATCACTGACACCCTCCATAAGGAGGGAAAGCCTCAAAAGGTAATTGCAAAAGAAGTTGGATGTTTCCAAAGTGCTGTATCAAAGCACATTAACAGAAAGTTATGTGGAAGGGAAAGGTGTGGAAGAAAAAGGTGAACAAGCAGCAGGGATGACCGCAGCCTGGAGAGGATTGTCAGGAAAAGGCCATTCAAAAGTGTTGGGGACTTTTACAAGGAGTGGACTGAGGCTGGACATGGGCTTCAAATGTTGTATTCCTCTTGTCAAGCCGCTCCTGAACAACAAACAACGTCAGAAGCGCCTTACCTGGGCTAAAGAAAAACAGACCTGGTCTGTTGCTAAGTGGTCCAAAGTCCTCATTTCTGATGAGAGCAACTTTTGCATCATTTGGAAACCAAGGACCCCGATTATGGAGGAAGAATGGAGAGGCATACACTGCAAGATGCTTAACCACCTTCAGCCCGCCCTATAGTACAATGACGGGCGCAAGGTGGTTCTCTAGTTCTGATAGGACGTCATATGACGTCCTACCATTCTCACTGCGCATGCGCGGCTCAGGGAGCGCACAGCGCGGCGATCGCCGGTCCGCTGTGTCCCTCGGACACAGCGGATCACGGAAAGAGCCGAAGATGTCGGCTCGGTCATGTGATCAGCTGTGTCCAATCACAGCTGATCACATGTAAACACGGAAATGCCGGTTATCGGCATTTCTCTCCTCTCGAGCTGTCACGCTGACAGCTCGAGAGGAGAGGAGAGCCGGTAATCGGCTTTCCGTGGAGGGGACATGTGCACTGATCATCAGGGCACTGATGATCAGTGTGCCCTGATGATCAGTGTGGCCCCAGAAGTGCCACCTGTCAGTGCTCATCAGTGCCAGTGCCCATCAGTGCCACGTGCCAGTGCCCATCAGTGCCACATCAATGCCACATAGTGCATACCAGTGCACATCAATGCCACATATCAGTGCCCATCTGAGCTGCCTTTCAATGTCACCCATCAGTGACAGTCAGTGCCACCTATCAATGCCAATCAGTGCCACCTATCAGTGCTGCAATCAGTGCCGCCTATCAGTGCCAGTCAGTGTCGCATATCAGTGCCAGTCAGTGCCGCCTAACAGTGCCAGTCAGTGCCGCCTATCAGTACCAGTCAGTGCTGCCTATCAGTGCCACCTATCAGTGCCATATATCAGTGTCATCTATCAGTGCTGTCTTTCAGTGCCCATCAGTGATGCCTGTCAATGCCCATCAGTGCAACCTACCAGTGCCTCCTCATCAGTTCCCATCAGTGCCACCTATCAGTGTCCATCAGTGCAGCCTATCAGTGCCCATCACTGCAGCCTCATTAGCGCACATCAGTGAAGGAGAAAAATCACTTATTTACAAAATTGTATAACAAAAACTAATGAAAAAAATTTTTTTTTAAAGATTTTCTGTGGTTTTTGGTTTGTTTAAGAAAAAATAAAAATCCCAGAGGTGATTAAATACCACCAAAAGAAAGCTCTATCTGTCTCAAAAAAATTGATAAAAACTTCATATGGGTACAATGTTGCATGACCGCGCAATTGTCATTCAAAGTGTGACAGCGCTGAAAGCTGGAAATTGGCCTGGGCAGGAAGGGGGTATAAGTGCCCTGTAGGCTAGTGGTTAAGGTCCAGTGTGAAGTTTCCACAGTCTGTGTTGATTTGGGGAGCCATGTCATCTGCTGATGTTGGTCCACTGTGCTTCATTAAGTCCAGGGTAAATGCAGCCGTCTACCAGGAGATTTTGGAGCACTTCATGCTTCCTTCCGCAGACGAGCTTTATGGGGATTCTGAGTTCATTTTCCAGCAGGACTTGGCACCTACCCACACTGCCAAAAGCACCAAAACCTGGTTCAATGACCGTGGGATTACTGTGCTTGATTGGCCAACAAACTCGCCTGACCTGAACCCCATAGAGAATCTGTGGGGCATTGCCTAGAGAAAGATGAGAGACATGAGACTGAACAATGCAGAAGAGCTGAAGGCCGCTATTGAAGCATCCTGGTCTTCCATAACACCTCATCAGTGCCACAGGCTGATAGCTTCCATGCCATGCAGCACTGAGGCAGTAATTGCTGCAAAAGGGGCCCAAACCAAGTACTGAGTACATATGCATGCTTATACTTTTCAGAGGTCCAATATTGTTCTATGTACAATCCTTGTTTTATTGATTGCATGTAATATTCTAATTATCTGAGATTGTGGATTTGGGGTTTTCATCAGCTGTAAGCCATAATCATCACAATTATGACAAATCACGGCTTGAACTATCTTGCTTTGCATGTAATGAGTCTATCTCATATATTAGTTTCACCTTTTAAGTTGCATTACTGAAATAAATGAACTTTTGCACGATATTCTACTATTTCGAGTTTCACCTGTATTTATATATATATATATATATATTACATGATTTGCATTACCTGTGCCACTATTGGTGGCTAGAGGTGCCAATCACTGGGTCCTGGCCAGCAATTCCTGGCCGGCACTCGGCAATCGTCGGGGAAAGAGGACAGGGAAGAGACCTGTGTGTAAACAACACAGGTCTCTCTCCTGTCAACATGGACATGCTGTTTTGTATCTCTCTGCACAGCAGAGAGGTACAAAATAGCATGTCTCCCTAATAAAACACAGCACACAGTAAAGCACACACAGCACATAGTTAACCCTTTCATCGCTCCAGATGTTAACCCCTTCCTGCCCAGTGTCATTAGTACAGTGTTAGTGGTTCTTATTAGCACTGATCACTGTATTAGTGTCACTGGGGATGTCAGTAGCAGTTATTCAGTTCCCACCCAGTGTAAGAATGCCCGCCGCAGTCCTGCTATAAGTCCAGTATATATACTGCATTTGTAGATGCTATGACTTTCACATAAACCAATTCATTTACATGTACTGGGATTTTTTTAGCAAAGCAGAATACATTTTGGCCTAAATTTATGAAGAAATTTGATTTTTTACATTTTTTTATTGGATATGTTTTATAGCAAAAAAGTAAAAAAATATATATATTTTTTTTTTTTAAATTGTCGGCTCTTTTGTTTAAAGCGCAAAAAAATAAAAAACACAGAGGTGATCAAATACCACCAAAAGAAAGCTCTATTTGTGGGTAAAAAAGAACATACATTTCATTTGGGTACAATTGTCAATTAAAGTAATGTTGTGCCGTATCGCAAAATATGGCCTGGTCAGGAAGGGGGGTAAATCCTTTGGAGGGCAAGTGGTTAACTGCTGATGATTCTGTTAACAGTGTTTTGCAATGTGCCCCACCCCTGCGAGGGACTGGGCACACGACTTTTGTACAAAATTTTGAAAAACTCACAAAAAAAGAGCCAAACATACTGAAAAACAACATAAAACGCATGTTTGAACTGCCTTAAAAGTTGGTTCACACCAGAACACACGCTTTTGTGCATTCCTGTGTGGTGTGTTATTGACAATCCATTAATTGAAATGGGCTACCAAATGCATGGGAATGGGCAAAAAAGTACGGGAGGCGCTAATTTTTACATTTTGTGGCCGCAATTTGCATATTCTTGCTAGATATATTTGGGGTGCCATTAATAATTAATAAGGGCAGCGCGTTACCATGCAGCCTGTTTTCTGCACTGCAGTTGGCGTGAAAGGGTCCTAAATGTAACAATATTATTAAAGCAATACTAAAGGCTTAATTTTTTTTTTTTTTTTTTAAATAACAAACATGTTATTCTTACCTGCTGTGTGCAGTGTTTTTGCACACAGCAGCCCAAACCCTTTTCTTCTCCGGTCCTCTGCAGGCTCTCCTGGCCCCTCCCTCCTGTCGGGTGCTTCCACAGCAAGCAGCTTGGGGGCACCCGCTGCTCCATGTGTCCATTCACACATGGAGCAGCGGCTTGGCCCCACCCCCTCTCTTTTCTCATTGGCTGTGAGTGACAGCAGTGGGAGCCATGTGCACTAGTATATGTAGGTGAGACCAAGCATCCCACCTGTAGTGGACTCAACAAACTCAAAAGTGTAATTCAGAGCAATGTGTCCATGTCTGAAAGTCACTATCACATATTTTAATAAACAGAGTCTAAAAAATACAAAAATTCACTCTTAAAAGAAAGATCAATTACTTTTCAATTGACAGATATTTTTGTGGAAACCATCACTTAACACTAAATTTCTGACCTTAAATGGTTCAATTTATAAAACTCAAAGTCCCTCATTGTCCAAAGTGAGACTTTTTCCCATCTATTGCAACCAATCTGTATAATATGTCAAGACACACGTTTAAGAATTATACCCTCTTTGTTTTTGAAGAACACAGGTTTTGTAATGAATTCTAAAAATACCCAACAGTACTCAACACTTTGTTTTATATCATTGTGCTAAAACAGCAATAAGATTTTGTCTTTTGTAAATATCATAAGAATATCAAACCTACCAAAGAGCTAGTTGACTAATGCAGTTTATAAAAGAAAAATAAAAAGGAGAAAGAAAAAGTGAGTTGTAAAATTGCACATGAATGCTTTTAAGGTTTATTTCAATGACTTTTGTTAGGATTCAGGAATTCTCTTGTAAATTTTATTGGAAAAAGGCTTTGATGCTGCCCAAGGCAACAAAAAGCTTGACAATTTGTACTAACTATTACAGGAAGTGATTACACAATACTCCGTAGAATAGCTCATTATACCACTGGAGTGATTCCTTGACTTAACACCATGGTTTGATGACTATATTTAGTATATTGTGACAACTGTCATTTGTGTAATACTGTGCAGTATTTTAAAAAATATAATCAAGGGCCACCAATATGGGAGGTGAAAGCCATAATTTTCAGTAAGACTCACTGAGTACATGGATATAATCTTCATGTAGGTAGTAAATATCTACATGAATATTTCTTTCTGCTGTGTTAAAAAAGTACCAACACTGCAAGATGCACTTTAACAACAGAATTTTAAGTACATGTGTAAGCATGTGCAGTAGACAATGGCATTATAAAACTAGTTTTAATACATCTACTAGCTTGCTCGCCTTAATTATTACCGCTATACCTTCTGTAATAATCTAATTTTCACAAATTTTAACCACAAAAAAGTAAAAGAAAATCGAAGCATAGTGCTCATAAGAGAACATATTCAACTCAAATGTAGGTGATCAAATTCTGGCAAATTTATGACGAAGAAAACAAAACAAAAAAATAAATCCTTGCCACTTGGTGATGTATTAACATACCAGGTTCCTAGTAAACAGACCTGAAGCAACCTACTGCTTTCCAGGCACATAACTCTTTGCAAATCACGTCCTTGCTGGCTGTGTTTCACCAAACATGGGCTTTACCACACAGGTACACCACAACTTCCCCAATCTGACTTACACAGAAACTGTTTCCAGTGCAGAGCAAAATTCCTGTGCTGGCTGGAAGTTTATATGCAGCCCCAAACTACCAGCTCTGCTTCGGCTTGTTGTCTCATTACCTAGTTCAAAGAACTCCAGCTCTTCCATCTAAATAAAAGGAAAAATATCCAAAAAACTGCTGAATCTGGGACATATTTAATTCTCATCCTGGACACAACATAGACTTTTTTGTTGTTCTGCTGTGACAAAACCCCTTTTGATGTTTCAATCTTCGGGTTGGAACACAGATTGCCAAACATGAGTGATCCTGGGACAGGGCAAAATATGGGACACAATGGGGAATAAGCCATTGTTAACAGCAAGCAATCCCTAAGAATGTTCAAACTTGCTTCTTGTTGCAGGGGCTTGCCCAATTTGGGCCTCACCTTTGTTTACCTGGGGTTTTATCATACCCTTTTTGAGGGTATATCCAAGATACTTTGCCTCCAACTGTACACTTTTTTGGATTGGTTGTAAGCCTGGCTTACTAAAACATGTTTTACTGTATATAGTCTGAACCTTTCGCAAATGAGAGGTCCAGTCTGTACTATGGATGACCACTTCATCTAGGTTGGCAGCCACATACTCTTGATGGGTCTGGAGCATTGTTTCTCAACCTTTATTCGCTCAAGGTACCCAATTCTAAAATGTAAAAAACTAAGCTAATAGTTTTACACATCGCAGTAGCATCCACACATGTACAACACTCAATATTAGAGGTGATTTATTCTTTCAAAGCAAAGACACCTTTGCACATTGCTTTTGACAAGACATTCAAATGTTTCTCTCCCTAACTCAGCTAATGTGACCCCAGTACTGACTGAGAGGGGCAGGGAGGGGCAAACAAAGATGCTGTGCAGGTGCCCAACGGTA